CCTCTGAGCCACAGCCGCCACCCAGTATAAGTTAAGTATTACGTTTGAGATGCTGTTGAGGTCTGTTAAATATGTTGCTTTTGTTGAGCTGTGAGTTGAGGTTGAACTAGACTTTTGAAGGCACTGAAAGGGACTAGACTGTGGAACCTGAAGGAAAAGAAAAGATACAAATTTCAGTGTTGGGCTTTAATAAAAAACAAGCTTTAAGACTCTTATTGAGCTGTTCAGGTTAGAGGCATCATCTGGAGTACCTGAGTACCTGAATAATCTATTCTTAGGGAAATAAAAATTGCTACAGGGAATTTAAATGTGTTTTGAAATTTTAAAATTCTGCCGATCTTTCACATTGAAAATCAAACAGTATTTGAATCATATATCTGCCATAAACTGGTTCATAAAACTGGTTAAGACTGGTTGTTATTAATTTGTTTCTAATCTAAGGTTTTCTCAGTTATTCTCAGTCTCTTGATTTCTTGTGGTGTACGCAGACGGTTTCCAATCCTACGGGTCCTGTCCATTTTTCTATGTAGTTTAAATGTTGCCCCTAGATAAAAAAAAATCCGTAATTTGTAGATATTCATGTGTATAGAACCTTAGGCCCACACTCATTAAATGGCGAACATACACTATTTTTAAGAATCTGCAGAATTCACCTGGGTCACATTGCAGGTCAGAAAGAATCTGGTATTTCCAGGATTGCATCCAAAAAAATTAAAATCTGTGATTGTTTATTTATACATAGCACCTACTGCATCGTTTTTTTACAGATTGTGAGTTGGCTGTTGTGGTTTTTATGTAGGTTTATCACAGCCCACCATTGACTACCAATGTACAACGGGGTAGTGCCATGAAATGAAAACAGTTCCTTTTGCATAGGAAAGTGAAAAATAATTAATGTATCTGTTCCTGGTGATTAGGATCTGACCCCAGACTGATGACCACAGGTTCATACAGATTTTTGGCCTTTTGATTGTATGTTTTGATCATGATTAATGCTTGCCATATTTCAAGACTAAGGAATCAAAAGAGAATAATCTATCATTGACGAACATGGAACACAAACACAGACAACACACTGTTAAACTATAATGGCATTTGATGATACAGTGAGACTCACTTTAAACGGTAAAACTCTAAATATTTGTCCAAATTGTAAGGTAGGTAATGTAGCTATGAAATAATTTAAGAAAAACTCTAATCCCACCGTTAAATCATCACATGTAAGCTCCTGTGGATGGCTGCTACCAGGTCTGTTAACCAGGAGGGAAGGAAAAATACAGATCTAAGAGGAGAGGGAGGATTCAGGGAGGGAGTAAGCTTACTGAACTATAGAAGAGAGAGGGAACTTCCATATTCAGCAGAGTTCCAATACACAAACAGAATACATTACTTTATTCAACATTGCTGTTCACTGCACACAACTTCTCTACTGTTACTCTACTGTAGCATCATTAACAGGTATGTTGTTTCTGCATGATATGATGAAATTTTAATACAATATTTATGGAATGATTCATTCCTTTTAGAGTCTTTTGCAACATTGAAATAACCAAGTTATCTCTTCCTTTAGGGGTCAGCTGTGATCGAACTCACTGCAGTCAAGAAACAAGAGTCCATGTTTAGAAAGGACAGCACTGTTACTCTGTCTACACATACTACAAACAAGCAACTGGGTAGTGATTATTTCTTCGTGGTATCGTCAATATCCAGGAAACACCAGAGTCCCTCATCTCTCACTTGGGAACACAAAATGCACAACCTCTAGACTGTCAGCTACAGTTGAGTGAGGATAAAACCAAATGGATCTGCAGATCTTCCTCTGCTGCATTGACAGACCTCTGCTCTGTACTATGTGCTGTGAGGTCCCACATGACAGAAACCCACAGTCTCTGTACAAAACACAAGCTGACACACTGACAAGCTGCTGGAAAGCCTTTTTTCCACACTGTTGGACAACTTTTAGCTCCACTAGAGGCGACATCATCAAGTAGGCGGTGCACTACTTCTGCACTGTGTTCAACCATTCTGTCAATAATAACTGCTGCTGTGAAGAAGAACAATTCTCACAACCTGATGTTGAACATCAGCTAGTTTCTCCTGTTGATTTTAAACCTTGTTGTAGAGATGGAACATTGGCTGTGGGATTATTCTTGCTTGCCTCTTTTCTTTGGGTAAGATTAGAAAAGCAGCAACATATTCCTCTCAAAACGGTTTAAACAATATTACTGAGCTTCACAAGTTAGTGATTTTAATGTTTTGAACAAGAAATATTTCTGCTGGCATTTGTTGCCTTGGCAGAAAGAACTTAAAGGTTCAATCTGATACTTTATTGTTATAACTCTTTAAACCTACTGATTGTTCTCTTTAATCAATCATCTTTTATTGATTCATCTCTTTCCTTCTGCATGTTCTCTTCTTTCCCAGAGTGTAAAGGACAAGACAGAGTGACCCAGCCACAGAAGAGTCATTGCTACTGAAGAGAGACAGTTACACTTAGATGTACATTTGAGACAGTGACCAAGTTCCGGAACTCTGTTCTGGTACAAACAGAGATGGAAATGATTCCCAAAGTACATGTTAAAATGTTCTCAGATTTCATCAGAAAATGCAGCTGAGTTTAAGAAAGACCGATTTTAACTGCAACAATCAAGAACAAGACAGTTCCTCTGAAGATCCAGAAGCTCAGCTGTCTGACCTGCTGTGTACTACGTGCTCTGCGTCCACTCAGTGACAGGAAACACCAAAACTCTGTACAAAAACCGTTGGAGCAAAGACAGCGAATACTCCACAACCATCCCTAGAGGGAGTCACACACTGTTAATACCTCAATGGATATGTGATGATTCAGTTTCCACACTGCCATACAAACCTGATGAACTTGGAATCACACCCCATAGGCTGGAAATATTTAGTTCAACCCGTTTGATCTGGGAGATTTTATCTCACATTTAAAAATTAAAACAACATCGAACTGCACATGGGTATAAAAATGTCAAATAAAATAGTCTTTTCAAGGCTTTCATAATGATTTAGACAGAACGTCAGCTAAACTAATTTTCAATTAAAATAAAAATAAATACATTTTCAGTTTGACCTCCAAATAAATTTTGTTCACAGAGCGGGTCGTCCCTCAATCGGAAGGTTGTTGGTTCGATCCCCGACTCCTTTGCCACGTGTTGAAGCAAGATACTGAACCCCAATTTGCTCCCAATGCACAGCATCAGTGTGTGAATGTGTATGAATGAGTTAGTTTCTGTTCGATGGACTTTGCCATCGCTGTGTGAATGTGTGTGAAAGGGTGAATGTGGCACGTAGTGTAAAAGCGAGTGGTTGGAAGACTAGAAAGGCGCTATACAAGTACAGGTCCATTTTACCTTTTTTTTTTTTTTACCACCACCCCCTGATCCACCAGGTAAGCTCTGCTCTTAACTATATCTAGTCAGCAGACCAAAGCTAGGCATCACAGTCAACTGCTTCACCTAATGATGTGGGCAGCTACCCTGCGCTCCGTTACAAGCTCAGCTCCCAGGCCCAGCTCCAGGAGCGTTGCTCCTAGTGTTCCCCTCACCTGGGAGACCATACCAAGAGCTGTTGTCGCTGTCTAAGGAAATCTGGTCATGACTGCTCTTCACAGTAAAGATAAAGGAGTAGCTATCACCTTCTTCACTGTCCCTTTGAGCTCAGGGTCACAAAAAACCCATATAATCATAAAATTCAAGTAAAACAAGTAGACCTTTAAAGCACTGACTGCTCTGATTAATGAGTCACTGTGTGGGCATGTGTGTTTAGGTGTGTTTACCTGAGGGGGCTGGTGGGTCGCAGGTGGGCGGAGGCAGGCAAGGGGTCATCCAAGCAAGGCTGGTCCTGGCTGCTGTTCACTGTACAAACTGAAGAGCCGCTGTCACTTCCTACACTGTTGTCCCTCTGAGCTCTGGCCTTGCTGCTCCCCTGCAAAAACACAAATGCCGAGGTTGTATACAGTACGTGGCTTTTGCATGCGGACACTACAACATTAAAGACCCATAAATCTATATCACATATATCACATAAATCTCAATTTATATGTTCAAAATGTAAGGATTTATATAGTTTTTTCTTTTTATCAAAAGAAAGCATTTCTACCTTCCAGATTCCCTCCAGGGACTCAGTGAGAGAGCGCTTGGCTCGGCTCTTGAATTGCTCAAGCCGCTGCCGACTACTACTCTGCTGCTGCGCCTCCACTGGGGCTGAAGCTGCCTCCTCACACGCCTACACACACATGAAGAGAGAAAGGGAGACAGAAAGGGAGACAGTGAGTGAGAGAAGGCGGCACTTACAAGTACAGTATGACACTTATTGTCTTTGTGAGATAAAGGGATAAAATGCTTTATTCAAGTGCTTTCCTTGGTGAACTAATTCCCTGTTGACACTATAGACGAAATGTAGGATATAATTGGAATAGAGAGGAAATTAGTAATAGAAAGCTGCTAGAGAGAGAGCTGGTACAGTAGTGTACACAGTTACCTGTTTGCTGTCTCCAGACAGTGTGTGCTGATGACTCCGCTGTCTCTCCTCATACAGATTCCTCAAAGAGGCCATCACTAACTCATTCTCTTCCTGATCGCTCTTAGGACGAGCCCTCTGAAACACACAGAAACCACATACATCCTTGACAAATGAGTGCTATATATTTGTGCAGCAGGTTGCTACAGTTTCAGACTAAAGTACCAATTTCTAAAGTCAGGAGCCTAAAACAAGGTTATGTGTGATGTGAATGTGCAGCGAAGTTGCAGATTGCAACCATTTGAATACAGCTCGCTTCCAAGCGTGTAGGAGAAACTACAGTGGCTGCAAAACTTGAATAACAACCAAAAGGCCCTATCTAGAGCCAGTGTTTGGTTTGTCCATTCTGGGATATTATAGAAACATGTTGCTTCAACATGGCGGCCTCCATGGAAGAGGACCAACTCCCTATGTAGATAAAAAAACGGCTCATTCTACGTTAACAAAACACAACAATTCTTATTTTCAGGTGATTATGTAGCTGCACATTGAATTTGTTGCTTTTTGGGAATAAAACCAATGTTTCCCGAATGAATGTTAGAAAGGCAGTAATCTGCTGATGAGGCCCATTCAGCACTGTCAGGTGCTGCATTGCAGTTCAAGTACTTCACCAGCAGATGTCAGCTTAGTCACAGATAAATATTTGAGGGCGGTCGCCTCTTAAGACTTTACAACAATCTGTAGTAACAATGATGGACACATAAATTTACATGACATTACGCTTATCAAAGAAATCCGCTTGTGTGTTTCTGGGAAAAGAGACTGAAGCATTGAGAGAGCCAAAGAGAACAAAAGAGATCACCAGGGAAACCGAGAGATAAGGTTGCAGAAATATTTAAGTAATGTGTAAAGACAAATCTGTCAGCGTCCCTTTAAATCCCACATGAAAAACTGCAGTGATTCAGTCATAAGGCATACAACTGCAGACTGAATGGATTGTTTCTAGTTGCAGTCACCTCAAAGGGAACTGTAGGAATTCGCACCTTGCATTACAGGAGACAGACAGAACAGACCACATACCATAGTGTTTTCAAAGACTGAAGCTTGCTCCTGGTTGTCCAGAGTGGCCAAGTGTCTCTGAAGCTCCAGCTTAGTTTTAGATGGATGTAGACCTGAAAAAGACGTAAATACACAATAAGAGTTCTCTTTAGGTGTGTTTCACATATAGTATGTGTGTGTTTATAGGTTATGTAGGGACTGATGGGTGCTGCCCCCTTAGTTTCTTTGTTAAGTAGCATAATATTCAATATTAAAGCACAGCTGTCACACATTTGCACACTTTTAGTACTAAGTACATTCAGAGCACTCAGACAAATTCATCAAAAATTTACACAGGTATTCCTTTTCTAAATTCTCTGAGGGCACTGGAGAGGTGCTTGGTAACTTGAAACATGAAAACCAGCAAATCTGAACTTGCACAAAAGTGACAATGTCCAATCCAATAGCTGCCAAGATTATTGTTTAAATTACTGATGCTGACACACAAGTCAGATGACATTGTAACAGCTTTGTTGTGTGCAAGGTTTGATATGTCTGTTGGGTGTTCAGCTGACAGATCAAGTGTCTGTTCTTCACACAGAGGCTCTGACTATATCAGTCCTTCTCTTTCTTTTATCCATTGAAGTGTCAACTTGCAGAAGACATTTTATACAAATATCAAATATTTATAAAATCCAGTGCTAGGAACAGCCTTTGTCACTATATTAAGATGACAAAGAGTTATCAACCTATCAACATTAATCCAATTAACTATTTCCCGACATGTAGTGTAAAGGAGTGCATTGACAGTTTTTTTTTTTTACCTTCTATCCTCTCACACAGTCTGTGGAGCTGCTGCATGGGGCAGCTGTCACACTGCTGACTCTGGGTCTTTGCATTCTGCTGCAGGGCAGCCACAGAGAATGCCTGCTTCAAAGTCAGCATGATCTCATCCACCTACAGAAGCAAAATACAGTCCTTATGCTTACGCACATCCATCCTTCATCAGATAGTCTTTCAATTATTTGTCAGTGCATTTATCAGTTTGATTCTACCAGTGTTCACATTAGCTTCTTTTTAAAACTATGTTTTACTATAGAGAATTATTTGAACAAAACCACCCCGTTTTCTTTTGACTAATAATTGTTTAATATTTAGGATCCTATATCAAGGTCAGTTTCAATTCATGTGGGAAATCTGGGTCTTTGCAGATATTATATCGTATGCAGTATACACTTTATTATATTATTACTTACATTAGAAATAAGAACTAGGGATGTCCTGATCAACGTGTTTTAGCCAATCCGATTTAATATTCCTGATCCGATACTTTTTAGATAATACCGTTGCATAACATATGCTTGACAATTGTCTGTATTCTCTGTATTGCAGTAAGAAACAAAATGCCTGCATCAAAGCTGTTCCTCAATGTTTTTTTTATTTATTTAGCCTACACAATAAAGTATAAAATTACCGCAGGAAGTTTATTTCTCCAGTGTTTGCCGCTTCAGTGCATCTTCTACCTAAATTACCTGAATGAACTGTCTGAGTGTTTATTTCTGTCGTCTCTACAGCTTTTGCGCTGATTACATTAACTAATTACTCTTACTGATGTTTATCAAGCCCAGTGACTCATTATTTGAAGAATTACAGGAAGCATCTATCTAGCATAAGCCAATCACACTGCAGCATTAGCTGACCATTACACAGGAGTAGAGTACATCCACCTAATGACCATGGCGTTTTTCTTTTTTTTATCAAGCTGACAGTCCATTTGGCACAACATGACTCAGTGGAGCACAGATGGCCTGAGTCATAGGTCTAAAGAATTAGAGCCGAATTTAATCTTGATTGATAGAAAAACAACATTGGTGGAAAATATCAGCTTCGCGCACTGTGACGCTCAAATTTAAATCCAAGGCAAACTTGCAAGGTGTTAAACTGAGTGGACCAATCAAATATGAACACTGAGTGGGGAAGCACGGATATAGGAATATGATGGTTATGTGAATTTAGTTACAGGAAATACACATGGATGCTCAACTGTACACTGTATTCACATTACTATCATACAAAAGACGTTTCTAGGTGTGTAGCTTTTTTTAAATGAATGAATAAATAAATAAACTGTACCAACAGAAATGTGCCCATTTGAAAATGTTTGCTTTGTTTACTGTTTTGTTTTAAATAAAAGAAGCTCTGGATAAAGGCAGAAAATATACAAATGAGGGCAAAACACATTATTATTACATTTTTTACACAACATGCCCCATCCCCTTCCTGCCATGTTCTGTTTTCCCTTCATTATCCATCGCTCACCAGTGATTCGTCAGTGCACTGGAAGACATAGCAAACAAAGTGGCAGCTCCCTCCTTCCACTGTCTCCCTGCAAATGAAGCCAAAGTGATCCACGTGACGAATACCCTGGAAAGAAAAGATGAGGAGGTTTAAGGATTCAGAATAAGTTTAAACATCACACACAGGCCTAAACGGACAATTACGTGGAAGAAAATACTTCATACCTGTGAGCAGAAGGAGATTTCTCTGAAACTCTTCTCTATGGCAACTTTCTTAGTGTCAGGACTAACCAAGAAGATCTGAGACCTGCCAACCTAAAACAAAGAAAAACACAAAGACAAAACAGTTTGACTCAGTGTTTAGTGTGTGCTTCTGTGTGTGGTGAGGTTTGTGGTGTCGTTGTGAGAGCAGTAATGAGCCTTACACACCGCTCACACTGAAACTTCAGTCATTTTTTTGACATTTGTCTCACATATAGATATGTTTAATGTCAAGAAAACTATCAATTAAACTGCTGTGAACCTCAACTAAACGGTTCGATAAATATAATCTTTTTAGTTATATTTTAAAATAATCGGATGTGTCAAATGAGGCAGTTTCATTTCCTCTATATTCAAAAAATACCAATGTATTTTAAGACAGTTCCGCTTTAGGGGATAATCCCATTCATGTCATCATTGGGACATGAGTCACTATCACTCCTAAATCTCAAAAAGGGACTCAGTGGTGATCTCATCTATCCCAAAACTTCAAGCTCTGAGAGCACAGCTTTTCTTTCTGTGAACAAGCTTCCCTTTAATTTACTTCTGCATCAAATATGAATCACATAGTCAGACTCTTTCTAGAGGAAAAGAGGGGATTTAATCTGTGTCCTCAAAACTGAGGAGGCGATGTCACCAGGATGAGGTCAACTATCCATGGCAGCAGTAGGGTGTATCATCAGTGTCAATAATGTGTCTGTATTTGCTGAGGGGGACAGTAACAGGCCCTTCTGGTTCCTGTGCCAGAGGTCACCATTTCCTGTCTGGGGGACAAACAGGAAAACTGTTGGCAGAAGGTCACAGAGGTCATCATCAGAGGTTCTTCTCTTCTAAAAGTATTTTATTTTTCTGTGT